TCTTCTGGCCTCCTCAGGCATTGCATGCACAGGTGCACTTCCATACAGGTCAGCAACACACATACACATAAAAATTTTTAAAAATAATAAATAAAAGAAAGAATAAGAAAAAAAGTGAGGCCCAGAGTGGTTAAGTGTCTGCCCCCAAGTTGCACAGCTGAATATAAGTAACATGCAGCTGAGATGATCTCAGCCTTAGGGACCAGAAACTCTTCACAGGAGTATAGAAAGATCCCCAGAAAGAGTGGATACCAGAGAGTGTATGGTCTCCAGGTCCCAGATAAACCCACTGTCACACCAAAACTCAAGTCAATCACAGGTGCAAGACTGAGATTCCTGAAGGTATACTGGGAGCAAGGCTAAACAAGAAAAGCCAAGATGCCTGGACACCCTTCCATGCATGCATTCCCTCCCCTCTTTTCCCTGAATCTAGTCTTGCCTACACAAAAGACTACATTTCCCAGCAGCTCGGGGGCGCCATCTTGAATTGCAAAGGCAGACTAATCTCAGTGGATGGTACTGTAGGGAGACAGGGTCTGGGTGCAACACTCTATGTCATTTAAACCACTGTATGTTGAAGCCTTTTTTTTTTTCTTTTTTTGTTACAGCAACTGGATCAGAAGTGAGCACACACCTCTAGTTTTTTTTTGACTTACCATGCTCTGAGGTTGCTCTGGAGGGCTGCTCTGGGGTGGAGCTGGGGGTGGGATGGGAGCAGGTGGGGCAGGAGCTGGAGGCCCTGCCCTGGTCTCAGATCCCTCGGTGATGGTGGACAGTTCTGGCTCTGGTCCCCCAGGCCCTGGGCCACCATGCCGGTGGAAGAGTCGGCTGATGATCTGCTGGTACTGTTTCTTGTGTGTGGGGGGCAGGGCCACAGCAGGACTTTGCTCCATGGAGCCTCTACGTTTCAGGGGCCGAGGAATCTCTGCCAGTACTCGTGCCACCTCCTCAAGCTCGGGCACAGACTGTGCCTCGGGTGGCAATGCTGGCTGCAGCCTCGTGGGACTGAGGGGCCGAGTCACAGTGCCTTCATCTGCATCTCCAGCCTCCAGTGCGGGCACGAGCAGGCCCTCTAGCTCTGGCTCGGGTTCTAGCTCAGCAGAGGATTTGAGGAGGCCTGACCAGAACAAAAGCCCCATCAGAGACATCATCAGAAGTATTCCTGAATCCCCTACAACCTCCAGGATGCAACCAGCACCTGTGCTGTGTGCCCTCGGGGCTGCTACTGCCATCTTTGGACTCCACTTTCCCTGGGCTGTGCATAATATAAAGTTATGATATCTCCCATTTATTGAGCACCTACACATCAGTTATTTATCTATTTACAGTGCTGAGGATTGAACCCAGGGCCCATGCTAGACAAGCATTCTACCCTGAGCTATGTTCCCAGCCCTACATGCCAGGCTCCCTCCTACATTGTGAAGAAGATAGATGATCATCTCTCTATTACAATACAGAGAGATGATCATCTCTCTGATGATCAGAGATGATTGAGGCTCAGAGAGGTTAGGTGATTTCCCCTGAATCACACAGCAAGTCAATACTAAGAATGGTTCAAGTCCTCTCCAATTAATTGTACTGATCTAGCATCACAAAGATGCTACTAAACATTACATCACAGAACTAAGGGTTTACGATGCATCAAGCCTTACTGTGAGACCCTGATATGGTTTTAGTACCATGCCCCAATAAAATAGGTTTCTGTCATTATTCATTTTTATACTCAAGGAAATCAAAGCCCAGAAAGGTTAAGTTGCCTGCCTGAGGCCACACAGAATGTGACCTTCCTTAACTACTATGCAACCCTGGCCTCTCTCCCTCCAGCAACAGTGTCTGGAATGAGGCTTGGCTGTCATGGTCCCTAGCTGATCTGCCATCTGCCCCCACTTCACCCAGCCTTTCTCTTTGCTCACCTTCATTTATTGGAGGCCATGTCTGTAGGGAGGGCTGGGGGGCTGCAGTCTGGGGCTGGGGCTGGGCCTGGGGCTGGGGCTGGGGCTGAGGTGGCATCTGAGGTTGAGGTTGGGGCTGCAGCTGGGATTGAGGGGGTGGCTGGGGCTGGGAAGGTAGTTTAGGTGGGGGTGCTCGGGAGAAGATGGTGGATCCCAGGGGCACAGCCCTGTTGGCCCCATGCTCCCAGAATGCATTCTGGAGCTTAAAGATCATGCTACGGGGAATGGGGCGCTGCCGGGGAGCACTGCGGGGCTGGGGGCTGGAGGGGGGCATGGGGATGCGGCTGACAGGCTGCCAGCTGCGGGGCAAAGTGCCTGAGGGTCCAGTTGAGCCCATAGAGCGCCGGTAGCTGCCTATGTCAGAACGCCTGTCGCTGGCCAGAGGGGACACCTTGTAATTGCGTGGCAGGGTGGCACTGGTGAGGTTGTCCTGGGGGAGATAAAGAGGGGCGAGGACGGGAACAAAGGAACATGGCATGATTGCCCATGCCAGTAATACTAGCACCTGGGAGGCTGAGGTAGGGGGATTGCCTTGACTGTGAGGTTAGTTTGTGCTGCAGAAAAAAAAAAAAAAAAAAAAAAAGGAGGAAGAACATCCAAGCTACTGCTTAGGAGGCTGAGGCAGGTGGATCCAAATTTTAAGGCCAGAGTTGTGGAGATGGATCAGCGGTTAGACACGCCTGCCATGCAAGCTTGACAGCCTGAGTTTGATCACAGATCCCTCATGGTGGAAGAAGAGAAGGATTTCACAAAGTTGCCCTCTGACCTAGTACACACAGGCATGTGAGTGCACGTGCACACACACACTAAAAAATAAGTTTTAAAAAACTAAACAAGCTGGGTGTGGTGGCACATGCCTTTAGTCCCAGCACTCAGGAGGCAGGGGCAGGCGGATCTCTGTGAGTTCAAGGCCAGCCTGGTCTCCATAGTGAGTTCCAGGACAGCTGGGGCTACAGGGAGACCTTGTCTCAAAAAGAACAACAACAAAAAAAGCAGGTCAGGATGTTGGGATGTTGCTCAGTGGTAGAGCACCTGCCTAGAATCCCCCAGTGAGGGGCTGGGGGTGGGGGTGGCCCAATGATAGCCACTTAGCTAGGATAAGCCAGGCCCTAAATTTAATCCTCAGCCTCCTCCCACCCCATAAAGAATAGTGTGGTAAAGGCCACACCCCAGGAACCCCTAATGTCTCCCACCTGCCCCTCACCTTGCCAGTGGCACCCAGTCCATCCAGGCTGCTCTCTCTCCAGGGTAGCAGCTGCAAAGCAGGGGAAGCTGGCCTCGTGAAGACGTCCAGCCCTGTGAAGGAGGCATCCTTAGGATGGAAGGGGCCACCTCTCCTCCAGGTCCCCCACTCCAGGACCCACCTCTCCTCCAGGTCCCCTTCTCCAGGACCTCTCCTCCTGGTCCCCCACTCCAGGACCCTCTGCAACTCACTTTCATAGCTCGAGGTCTGGGAAGATTTCTTCTCATAGGCCACATCCAGATCAGACTCGTTCCAGGCTTTCGGCGTCCTCCGGCGCAGTGTCAGGTCATCTGGGGAAGAGGATGTGGAAGTAAGGATGTGAGCTGAGGCTAGACCAGGTCCTGCCACTCCTCCAAGTGGGTCCCCCCACCAACCCCCTGTGCACCTTGTGCGCGCAGTGGCGGGGCAAAGGCGCTGCCCCCGGCGCCCAGCAGAGGACTCCCGAATGTAGCTGGCGCATCATAGGCTGCACCAGGTGGACGTGGGGACGGTCCCCGCTCTGGGAAGAAGGCCTGAGGTCCCTCTGCTAGAGGGCTGCCCCGCGGGGATCCCGCACGGCCCAGGTAGTCGTAAGCCGTTGGGGGACCCGGCTGGCGGAGCGGACCAGCCCCGGGCCGCGGGGATGGTGCCCGGCCAAGGGGACTGCCAGCTCCTTCAAAGGCGCGAGGCCGGGGTGATGGTGCACGGTCCAGGCTGCCATAGGTGTCCGGCTGCAGGTAGACTGGGGTGCGTGGAGACGATGGCCGGCCCTTAGGGGACAGAGGGATATAAGGGTGCAGGGATGGGGCACTCTCTGAGCGTCCAAAACGGGCATCTCCGGTGTCGGTGGCTGCCTTCTGGGGGGACCCTCGGCTGCCAAAATGTTCTGGAACAGGACTGGTGCTATACCGGGACACCTGTTGGGGAAGCCAGGATGTTGAAAGGTCAAAGGGGGCAACTGTAGAGGGTCACTGGGGGAAATCAAAGGACAGCACAAAAAATCTAGAGGAGTTGGATTGGGTGGAAATTTGGGCCTGATGAGCACAGGTGCAGTGTGGGAAAAGAGCCCAGACTCCGGGTTGAAGCCACTTACTCTGTGTGTGTGTCTGTGTGTGTGTCTTAAGGCCCTTTTCCTTTTCCAGAGTAATGTATTTACTTTTTGTCTGTTTTGTTTGAGACAGGGTCTCCCTGTAGCCCCACTTGGCCTGGAACGCACTATGTACACCAGGCTAGCCTTGATCTCACAGAGATTAAAGGCCTTCGCCACCATGACTTGCCCTGTTCTTGTTATGTAATGATCCTTCTACCTATGGAATACTGGTATTACAGATGTGTACTACAAGCCCTGGCTTTGTTGTTGGTTGGTTGTTTTTTGACAGGTTCTCCCTAGTCACAGCCCACCTGGAAGTCACCATGTGAATGGGGGTGGCCTCAATCTCGCAGAGATCCACTGGCCTGTGCCTCCCAAGGGCTGGGATAAAGGTACATGCCACCACACCCCGTGTGTTTTTTAAAAGAATATATACAAATAGCCGGGCGTGGTGGCACACACCTTTAATCCCAGCACTTGGGAGGCAGAGTTCAAGGCCAGCCTGGTCTACATAGTGAGTTCCAGGACAGCTGGGGCTACAGGGAGACCCTGTCTCAAAAAGGCCCCCCCAAAAATCCCATATATTTAAATTATTTATTATTTTTATTTCTTATGTGTATGAATGTATTGCCTGCATATATTTACATGTATTTACTAGTGTCATGCAATGCTCAAGGAGGTCAGAAGAGGGCATCAGATTCCCTTGGAAATGGAGTTACAGATGGTTGTTAGCCACCATATGGGTACTCGGACTTGAACCCCAGTGATCATAACCTCTGAGCCATCTCTCCAGCCCCTTTAAAATATATTTTATTTTGAAAGTTTTTCGTTTGTTTTTTTGAGACAGGGTCTCACTATGTATCCTTGGCTGGCTTGGAACTCACCATGTAGACCAGGCTGGCCTGAGACTCAGATAACCACCTGCCTCTGCCTCCTGAGGCTGGGACACCATATGCAGCCTCAATCCCTGGTTTTATATGGTGGAGAGAATGAAACCTCCAGCTTTGTACATATTAGGCAAGCACTCTACAAACTGAGTTACATCCCATCCTTTCTCTTATTTTTTCAGAGTCTCATGTAGCCCAGTGTGGCCTTGAAGTCACTAGGAAGCAGAAGCTGACACTGAATTGACCTTCCTGCTTCAGCCACGCAGGGCAGGGTTTCCAGGCTGGCGCCACCACACCTGGCTTTCCCGTCCTTTCAAATGGCAATGTATACCCCACACCTGCACCACCCTAGGGGCAGCTTTGCCTGAAGTTCAAGCCTCCCCTGGGGCATGGAGAGAAGGGAGTTTTGGGGGGCAGAGTGGGATCATCAGGCTCACTCTGGAGGGGACTCCAGCCTGTGGTCCGGGAGGTGCTGGTGAATCCGACCACAGAGACTCCAACTGCTTGGTCAGTTCGTCCACTTTGGCAGCTGCAGTGTCCAACTCCATCTGTTTCAGGTCCATGTGCTTCATGGCCAGTGCTGGGGGGTGGAGAAGGTGAGGACCATGCCCTCTCGCAAGGCCCCGCCCCTCAGCCCCCCCTCCCCAGCTCACACTGGAAATTCAGATCCAGGAGGTCCCTAGCACTCTGGAATGCTTCGCTGTCCATGGTGCCAACTGGAGCGGGTGCACCTGCTTAGGAGAAACAGCGTCAGACCCTCAGGCCAGGCCCCTCCAGACTCGACTCCCAGGGAAAATGGGCCCTGGAGTGCAAGGGGCGCTCTTAAATGGGAAATGCTAACTCCTTCAGAACCCAGTCCAGGTGCTACCCTGAAGTCCAAACTGGTTCTAGGAGGTTTTGGACAAAGAATCTATCCATCACCTACCACGTGCTAGTGAACACAGATGGAAATAATAACTCTTACTCTGATAAAATGCTCCTAGGGATGAGGAGACACAGATTTTTTTTGTTGTTAGTTTTTTGTTCTGTTTGCTTTTTAGGTACTTGAGGATGAATGAGCACCTGTACAGTCTAGCCTGGGGCTCTACCACTGAGCCACACCCCAGCCCCTCACTGGGAGCTTCTAGGCAGGGGCTCTACCACTGAGCCACACCCCAGCCCCTCAATGGGGGCTTCTAGGCAGGGGCTCTACCACTGAGCCACACCCCAGCCCCTCAATGGGGGCTTCTAGGCAGGGGCTCTACCACTGAGCCACACCCCAGCCCCTCACTGGGGGATTCTAGGCAAGCACCAACCATTGAGCAATACCCCCCCGAGTCCTGAGGCTATTTGAAAACACCACCACCACCTCTAGTGCCTGGCAGCCTCCACGTTCCCTCCATCCTGACCTTCAATGGTGCA